ACTTCCATTTTTAGCTATAACTACTTAATTGTTAAACAACACCTTTAAAAAAACCATATTTTTAATTTAAAATGACCAATAAATGTTTATAAATGATTATATGTATTATATGGCGGTAAATGTGCTGGCGGTTAATTGTAGGCTATAAATTGCTTAGACGATCAATTGCTATGGCGGTAAATTGCTAGCGGTCAATTTCCTGCGGTCAATTGCTGGCGGTCAATTGCGGGCGGTCAATTTTCCTAGACCCGTTTGATCTACCTGTTGATACAGGCGCCTAAAAAATGTTGTATGTACCTCGGCCGTATGATCTTTTTTTACCTCACCAGAAGTTACTTGGCCTCGGCCGCAAATTTCTGATTCGACCAATGAGGATCAACTTTACGACCTTGATACACAAATAACTACTATATAGTAACTTTTTAATTAATTTATTAGAGTAACCTTTTTGATCGGATGCTCATGCGACTTCAAAAGAGAAAAGATGAAAAAAGTAAGTTTTTAATGTTAGGGCAGTAAAAATAATTTTTAATGAGTAGGTAGTAAAAGAGTTTCTTTTATGATCGAGAAATGTCAATGAAAATAATTTTTTAAGTGTCAGCAGACCGAAAATAGTTTTATGCAGTGTATTTCAAAGTTTTCTGTAAAATTTCAATAGTAATATCCGCCGTTTATGTTTCATAGTATATTACCAAAATATTGTTACACTGGTTTTTGGTATCGCAATTTATTTCAACTCAACTTTCACAATAACAATACAACTTATAACATAAACGTATAACCTCTATCATAAAACTGAACTCTGACGTCAGTTCGTCGACTTACATAGCTTGCCTCGACCTTCTTGAACAATCCGGACTTTTCTTTGACAATAAATGACATTTCGAGAGATCTCTGGACTTAGAGCATATAAGTCTCTGGACTATTCTATCATCTTTATTTACGCGTACCTTTACTTATGACGACCGCAACACGCTACAGGGTGCTGCGTAACATTGCTCCCTCCTCTCTAGTTATTCACCCCGAATAACTTGATTACCGGGACCTGGTTGGAGCCAGTGGGGAGGATCTGGACCACGGTATGGCGCTAACTTTTTAATGTGAACTACCTTGGGTTTACTTCCCGCTGACAACTGAATGCGGTAGATCAGGTCGTTGATCTTCCTTAAGAACGGCGTAGGGGCCTTCCCAGTTCCGTTGCGATTTCTGGCAAAATCCTTTTCGATGCTTGGGAGTGTACAGCCGTACTGGGTCACCTCTCTTAAAATGTGTTCCTGTGACACGCCTGTCGATTCTAGCTTCTGCTTTATCGCTGTTGACTTCCAGTCGTTCTCGAGCGAATCCGTAGACATTTGTCCTGCCATTGCATACATCACATTTTTTACACCAATCTGCTACATCCCGTCGGCAATTGACCCAATAAAATATTTCCCGGACATGTGATTTTGGCAGTACCACTTGGCGGACTACATGTACTCCATCAGGGCTTTCCCACTTCCGGTGCAATAGGCCATCGTGAAGATACAGGGAATCCCACTGAGTCCAGTACCCTTTAATAGCTCCACTGTATTTGGCTATCTCTTGCCAAGTAGGTTTAACTTTATTTTTGAGCTATTCTTTCAAATCATTGTCTTTCTTCTGCCTCTTTCTTAGGCTTTCAAGGGTGATTTCTTCTTCATCGCCCTCTAGTTTGATAGTGGTTGCCCCAAGGGTAACTTTATCAACTGGTTCCTCCCGTTCTTTGAGCCCCTTACTATACCGGCATTTTCGTTCTAAACAGGGTCGCCTGGAGAGAATGTCTGCGTCGCTATGGAGATGGCTTCTACGATGCTCTACTACCTGATTATTGCTAGAAAGCCGGTTCGGTGTGGGTGATTGACTTTTTCGTGACGCATAGCTGCTGTGACTATTTCTTGTCGGACTTCGTGACGGGCTTAGGAAGATTGATCTATGTGACTTTCCGGCCTTATTCCCTGATTTTATAAAACGAGCTCTGCTTCTACAGGTTCTTTGAAGGCGTCCGATTCTTCCGCAATTGAAGCATCTTCTGTTCTCATTTTGACTATTTCGTTGCATATTTTGCAGGATATTTAATATTTGCGAGAGGGTAGTGTTACGGGTCAATTTTAATTTCATAATAGTGAATAGTCTTTTTAAACAAAATATTAAAATCATACCTACTTTTCCACTATATTCGAATAATAAATAAAAACTCACCTAAATTCGTGAATAATACACAAAATTAATTGTCTTCATTTTCATTTATTAAAAGTAACCTATACATAGTATTGATATTGTTTATTTATATGCTGTCAACTCTTGACCATGACCTTGAGGTAGTTCTTCGTCTTCTATTCTTTATTTAATTTTATTTTCTGAGTTTTGAGTAATTAGATTAATTAAAATTAGTATTGGCAGTTTAGCCATCCCAAATCAAGGACATTTATCTTCTTAGGTCCTGAAGTTTTATCTGTCTCTCTTGGTTCCTTCTCTTTTTTTTTTGAGGTTGGTTTATGGGCCATGTGGTCTTTGAAAATTGTAACGAATGATTTCGGATTTTAAACCACTTAAAATAGATAAGTTCCATCAAATAATCGAATTATATCATATAAGTATTGAACCAGATAAATCAAGTGTTGATTTTAGTACGCAATTTGTGGATTTGTCGATACTTATTGATATAAAACAGGACCCTACCTTATTCGGTCCTTTTCTTTTTATTTGTACTTACTCCCTTTATAATTTGAAAACTATTGGCTTTGGCTTCCTTTGCTATTACCTAGTTCTTCTTGCACCTACCTGCTTGGCAATTTTATAAGTACTTGAAACCTTTTGGGCTGCTAGTTGCACTTGATACAGTGAAACGAGGGATGTAAACGCAGGATTTTTCCATCGCATCACTTTGGAGACAGGAGAAAACCACCAAGTAAGATATGTCCATTTAAATTAAATTAGCTGCATCTTCCAAAAAATCACATACCCATCCTGAAAGTATTAGTTTGTGAACAAGTTATAAGATACCTGTGTTAATTTGACTTATAGCGTGTATACGACTTAAAAATTAGTGATATAATTTTAAGTAACTAAACTCGCCCCTCGGCCAGATGAATCAATCTTCTTATGTCGGCCTCGAATTCCTGTAGACTCTCATTATGTTTCTGACTACGAACCTTTAGCTGGCTTTGAAATACCCGTTTCAAATGCTGCTGGCCATATCTTGTCTCCAAAGCTTGGACAAGAGATGAATACCTGGGTTCTTCTTGGGGAAGTAACTGTCAAATGGTTGCTGCCTGACCTCGCAGTGACACTATCAATGAGGCTGTCATCTCTTTCTCGGTCCAGCCATTGGCTCTAGCTGCAGCTTCAAATTGGAGTCGATAGGTTTGCCATGTTGTCTGACCGTCAAACGTGGGTGGCTTAATGGTCTTACTAGTATGACTTTGTGAAACTGGGTTTTGGATATGGCTTGGTTCGCTTATAGATAAGGATGAGGTAGTGTTTTCAGTTTCTCTATTTCTTATCAAAGCTTGGCTACGAATTCTTCTTTCCGACTCAACTAGTTCAGTTCTAATTTGCCTTTCGAACTATACTCTAGCCTTTTCCTGTTGTTTTAAATTCTCTCGTTGTTGTTCTAAATTAGTTTTTAAATACTCCTACTGCTATTCTAAATTTGTTTTTAAATGCTCTTGTTGTTGCTCTAACAGATCTACTCTAATTTTAGGCTGACCAACCTCTTGCTTGAAGGTTTCCTGGATTTGCAGCAAGCATTTATAATTTCTATCTCAGCTTTCCTACGCCTTTCTTCCGTCTCTTTTTCCTCATCCTTCCGGTGCCTTTCCTTCTCCTCTTCTCGCCTTTCCTTCCCCTCTTCTTCGTTATTCCTACGCCTTTCCATTTCCTCTTCTCGCCTTACTTTCTCCTCTTCCATCTTCAAAAACCATGCTGGGGCCTGAAGTATCCATATCTTTTTCGTACTCAGTGGATCTAGTATTTACCATTAACTTCTATTTTGTATCCCACCGCTGTCACCAATGTTACACTGGTTTTTGGTATCGCAATTTATTTCAACTCAACTTTAACAACAATACAACTTATAACATAAACGTATAACGTCTGTCATAAAACTGAACTCTGACGTCGGGTCGTCGACTTATATAACTTTTCTCGACCTTATAGAACCTTCTCGAACAATCCAGACAAGAAATGACATTTCGAGAGATTTCTGGAATATTCTATCTTCTTTATTTACTCGTACCTTTACTTATGACGACCGCAACACGCTACAGGGTGCTGCCTAACAATATTATTGAACTATTTTGAAAAAAGAAGAAAGAGCTGATTATATTTACAAATAAATACAATCCGAGATTAAATTGTTTCTTAAATTAAATTGTCATTAATTTTATTATGCTCCTTTAATTTTATTATATCTCTTTCATATTTCAAAAAGATATGAGGGACAATACGAGTATACGTATTTAATTCTCTCGAGCACATTCCTTTTATGTTTATTTTGTGGACATTCTTTTTACTACTTTAATTAATTAAATGCACTCCTCTGTTGTCGAGTTGAGTTGCGACCCACGTTTATTAAAGTAAATGGTAGGTACATTTGCTGGTGTTGGAAATTACGGCATTTAGTCGAGACCGTCAAGTCAACTCAAATCCTCCCACAGCACGAAAACTTCCGAATGTAGGAGCCTGATGAAATATTAATAATGGTCGACTCGACAGGTTTCTAGCCCTTAAGGCCATGCGGGACAGAATGCTTCGCTTATAATTTTTTACCGAAAAATACATAATGTCATACGGTTTTAATACACGCAAAGAAGAATTAATACACAATAGTGAATAGACTGAGAGTTAGCGGTCATTTTCAGTAAAGTGTTAAAAACAAGTCTGAAAATTTGTAGATTTATAATTTAATATAAGTTGAATAAGGAAATAATGATATTACAAGTTTCTACAAATATATGGTTCATCTCGCCTCTCTGTTACAGGAAGGAACCCTTACGTTGGTGACGAAGATCAAAAAGCAAAAGAATCCATCGTCAATTCACGACACTTACTAGGTAAAAATAAATTTTGTGCTATTTGCCTTTTTGATTCTATAAAATTTAGATAAAAGTTTCATTCTGGCGTTTGTTGAAAAATTGACGGAAATACAAAAAAAATATGTGATTTCACAATTGAAAGGCATAGCCCATCCATGTATTGAAATCAGTAACTGTATTGGAGGGCATAATTAAGCTCCATAAGAAATGCAATGCATTTTAAATATATTGATTTTTATAGCACTAAAGATAAATGAATAGGGCTCTTAGAAGAAATGTAAGAAAATCCAAATCGCAAGTCAATCGGAGCTTTCGTTCTAAAGTTATTGTGCCGGTATACATAGGCACAGACAGACAATCGAAAAAATATTTTTTGATTTAGTATTGGAAACGTGGAGAAGTGTTAAAAAGTGAGAGTAGAAAAATATTTTGGTAGGCACGATAGCGGTATTGAGTAAGGCAACTACATAGTGCCGACCACGCAGGGCTATATCAGCAAGTAAAAAGGGATAATATTCTAGCTATGCCTACTGATTGAGCCATAACCACATACAAATTTGAAAGATTTTCAAATTCAAATACCAGCCCGAGAATCCTGGAAACAGGGACCTCCCGTATTGGCTGAACTCGTCTAGTACACAGACGGTTCAAAAACCAAGAAAGGAGCCGGTGCTGGAATCTATGGACCCAAGTCGAAAACAACGATTTTGCTGAGTTTAGGAAAATATGCAACAGTGTTCCAGGCTGAGTTAATAGTCATACAACACTGTGCAAGAGAAATATTAAATCAGCAAGTATCAGGCAAAACTATTGCTATATACTCTGATAGCCAAGCAGCTCTAAAGGCAATTCTCTCAACAGAAATCAAATCACGACTGGTGAAAGTCTGTTTAGAAGACCTAACAAAGCTAAGTAGTCAAAATAAGGTGTACCTAGCCTGGGTTCCAGGCCAAGAGGGATATCAGGGCAACGAAAAGGCACACGAATTAGCCCGAGAAGGCTCAGATAAGGCCATGACAGGCCCCGAAACCTTTTGTGGAGTTGCTAAGGCATTGTGCAAAGCATTTATTTAACAATGGATGCAAAAAGAGTCTCAGGAATGGTGGAACAACTATCCAAGACTGAGACAGGCCAAATTGTTTATCAAGGAACCATCAGCCAAGTTCACGAAAGACCTACTGGATCAAAAACGTCAAACCGTTAGGATAACAATAGGCCTTCTTACTGGACACTGTAGCCTCAAAAGGCACATAAGTGTCATCAATCCAGCAGAAGAAGCAACTTTATGCAGGTTCTGTAAAGAAGAAGAGGAAACATAATTCCACGTCCTGTGCCAATGTGAAGGCCTAACTGGAATGAGGTTTCTAACATTGGACGAAGAAAAGCCAAATACATGCAACTACATGCGGGAGCCACTGTCAAAGCTACTAAGTCTAATAAAAAAGACCAGGCTAGACGACATACTCTAAAACAAACGGAATCCCACAATAGATCTGAAAAGGTCGCGGTGGACAAGGACAAATAACGTCCAACTCCTAATCTAATCTAATCTAGCGTTATTGGGGCCTCATAGGCATTCGCCTCAGTAATGTTCAAAATTATCAATCACGATGTGTTAATTCACCGATTTTGGTATTTGTAAATTTGTCTGTCAAATAACAAATCGGACGCCAGCTTCCTAGTTAAAAATGAAATCTGGTAATAAATTGTGGAACTTGCCCTATGAATATAATATTATTCTACATAGTGTAGTATGAATATTTTAATACTCTTGAAGAAAAATATTATTTTATACTTTATTTTATTTTTGAAGTGCATACACAAATAAATATGTTTATAATATAAAATTTTAAAGAAAGGAAAAGAAAGTCGCTTCAAGATAATCATTTTCTGCAGTATACTGCACCTGGATTTTGCAAAGGAAACACTTTTCAAAGATTAGCACAGTAGTTAACTGTACTTTATTTAACTTCCGCATTCCGTTTAGAGGAGATTTAGAAACTTTAAATAAAAATTAAATTCAGCCAAGTAGTATCAGCATTTTCACTTAACGGCTACGGTCTTTATTTAGATTTAAGGGCCCACGACGGTGTTCATTATTATTTCAGTGGAGTCTGTTCGTTCCGGGCGGAATTTTCATGCAATGGGCGTGCTAAGGGTCTCGACTAAACGTAGTAATTTAGATCAGCAGCAAAATATACCATTAGACTAATAGAGCCAGTCGACAACAGCAGACGAGGGCATCTGATTAACCGATTATACGTTTATACAAGGTGGATATATTAATAAAATATAAGGAAGTCTGTAAAAAGCACCACTAATTTTAGTTTGCACAAATACAGGGTGCTATTAAAAGAAGTCTTGTAACTTTTAAAAGTTAATAGCCTACAAATTTCTAAGTAAAAATGTTAATTAGAACACATGATACTATTACTCGAGTAATAGTATCATGATTAGAACATATGTCTTAAAACGAACCGTTTGTATTAAAAATGTGTCTGAAAATAGGAATAGTAAACGCGGAATTAGGTTATAAAATCTGCACCTAATTTAAATAAATCTAATTTGACAACATTGTTGAAGGTACTTAACCAGCAATTAAACCATCATAAAAGTAACCTTCTATAGCCTGTTAAGATAGAGATTTATAGGAGCGTGCTTCGAATTTCATTATAATCATTCACTAAAGTCGTTTAAATGCCCCTTTGGAAATTAAATGAATATATAATTATACGAACCAGCTACAATTTTTTTTTTCTTCAATGAATCATTAGTATATTTTTGTACTATCTGAAAAAATTTGTTAGGTACATACATATACAAATGGACAATATTGTTTATAGTTATTTTAAATTTTAATACAAATTATTTGAAAAGTGTAAATACATATTTACAGAGCACGAAGTAAATAGCATATGACTGATGCACATTGCAGTGGTTTGTAAGTCGTTTATATTGATTTATAACATTTTAAGCGTAAATTTGTATTATGTTGTAAGTTTTGTTTTTGTGAGTGGTATTAGTAAAAAAATAGTCTTAAAAAATGTGGTGCGCAAGTTAGGGATGTAACAGTAACAATCAAAGCTAAGGATTTAAAAAAAGACATGTGTTTTCGCTTTCCTCGGCAGTCAGAAGTGAGCAGTGGCCAGTGACCAGTGGCCTTGCAGATAAATTTAAACCAGAAAAATGTCATGTGTGTTCCAAGCACTTTCAATCTTCCGATTATAAGAGGGACCTCAAAGTAGAACTTCTCAAAGGTTTATTTGCAACTCGGAACTTCTTAATTGGGGACCGAAAACTGAAGGCTAAAAATTTTGCAATTCGGAACTCGATAAATTTCTGCCTGTAGAGAATTCGCAACTGTGGACTTGTTTAAACGACGTTAGCAAATGGTTAAGCATAGGAGAATTTTTCAACACAGGAAATGAATCTATACGGAATAATAATCTAATGGTCTTAAACTGTGAACTAATATAATTTATTTATAACATAGTGTTTAAAAAAAAATTAATAATTGTTTCAATAAATAAAACTAATGCATACAGGGAAAATGAAAAAATCCGAACGCATATAAGAAAGTGCTTTCCTTTGTCGTACATTCCATAAAAAAACAACCACTTTTTTTGAACTTATAGAGACAATAATAGAGGAATTTAATCAGTACGACAATATACATACAGTAAGGGTGGAGTTGTATAAGACACCAAAAAATAAAAACAAAATTGCGACGTGTTGTACTTGATGAAGGAAACAAAAAACTGTGAGTGACTATGTCCAGGAAAAATTCAGTCACATTTTATTTTAATTTTTGCATACACCCACCATGTAGCAGTTATTTGTATTTGGTACATTATTTTTATGCTTTGTATTGTTACGTTTGTTTATTTTAAAATTTGTTAATAATTTATTTGAACACTTATTTATTTTAAAACAATACTATTCTACTTTATATATATTTCGAATGTCCTTAAATTGTTCACTATTTATCTTCACAACTGTTTTTATACGACTGCTCCGTCCCAAGTAGCATTATAGTGACAGAAACTTATATCGCCACTGCCATTAAGTGACTATTACATTATAATTACTAAATGTACCCCTATATAGTGAGAATAAATTCATTTTATATTTTCCCAGTTGTAGCCACGTGTATTTCACCACTGGGAATCACTTCAAAGTTTTATATTATTTATTTACCTCTGAAGGTGTTTGAAACGTTATAGCCACTAAGCGGGACCACTTTAAAGTTGCACAAACTTGAATGTGGAAAATAGTAGTTACTACCACCAAATCATAACACTTAAATACCACCTAGAAGTGGCAGTAATCTTAAAGTGGGTTTGATAGTTTTAGTAACGTTTCGGGAACCAGAAATATATCTTTTAAGTGGCGGCACTTGATTGTATAACTGCAGTAGTTCTTGCCACGTTTTTGCCACGCTCTTAAGTGATTTTCACGTATTGCGTGGAACAAAAGCCACTTCAAAGTTACTATTACCTTCAAAATTCACAATGAAGTAACCGTTGCCTATTAGTGGCCTGCTTTCTACATTGTCCGCCTTTACAATAAAGAAAAAACTACCAAAGTTTCGTCGATCTGTGCGCAAATTACTTCGTTTTTAGATTTATCTAGAGTGCATTTGTGTGTAAAATGGGAAACAACAAGAAGCCTCGCAAAAAGATTACTTTTCGACATTCGACAACTTTTTATAGACAACTTAAACAACAAATAAATGGTACCAATTTTAAAATGCACTCCATCTGCGACCAACTCACCTCAGGGGATTTCGTTTCTCGTTGTGAAAAATTTAAATGGCATGGCCAAAATAAGGTTTCTTCGTTTTCCCACAGAAACAAACAGCCCCAGATTTTCTTCAGTCGATACAATTTTAAAACTCATATCTAAATCTAAAATGTGCACACAAACACAATATAAAACATTAAATACGTACATAAATTTAAGTGATCTGTAACATAAACAAATTTAACCGGCGAAATCTACTGTAAATTTTGAGGTTA